CACTTTAAACACCATTGAGTTATCCACTTAGTTATTGAATCCTAATAGCGTATTAAGTTGACGTTTAAATTTATTTTGTATTGTTTGTTTGAATCTTCCCATTGATGTTTAAATCAGTCTATTATTAACATATATGCATCCTGTGCGTATTGCCTCAATATTGATTTATGTCACAAGGATTATAAGTAAAGTTGGCTAGTGGTTAGCAGTATCGAAACAATCGGCACAAGATACATATATGCCAATAAGAGACTAATCAATTACAATCTTAAACATCAATAGAAAGATTTAAATAAACAATACAAAATCAAATTTGAGTGTAACATTTATTTTAACATAACAAAATTATGTTTAACTTAATTCACAACACTGAACTCTTATTATATTTTTTATGCGTAGGTGTTCTCAAAAAACTGAACACACCACGAAAAAAAAACTATTTTCACTATGTATGTCTTATGACTCATATGACTAAAGAATATCAAATAGGTCAATCATTTTAATGAATTCATGAATTGAATATCTTCAAATGAGAGAAACAAACAAACAAACAACAGTTAATGAATTAATTGACATTCTATTTATAGAAATTTATTATTTTTTTTTGTACACATGTTTAAACTAGTTTACAGATTGATTTGGCACAAAATCTGATTATATTTTTTATTATTTGTTCATTAGTTGTACTGTTATTTGTAATGAAGTACTAATAAAGTACTGGGGAGGGGAGAGAGAGAGAGGGAGAAAAAACTATTGATTTATCATGATTGTTAGTAGTTGGATAAACTTTTTTTTTTAATGATTAAAATAAAATTTATTCGATACCATAATAAAATCTTTCCGTATCAATAATCAATGTCATTGGAACAAGTGTACTCTGGGTTTTTTTTAAAAGTGGTATTTTTGGATTTATTAGAATTCACAATTTATATTGTTGTTGTCTCTGTGTATTTTCCGAATAGAATGTGACTTTCAGATGAATTCATAGGGCAAATTTACTATACGTAATGTTTATATATAACTGGGGATTTTTTTAGGCTAATAATATAATTGTTATGCTTGTAAAATAAGTAAGCTGAAGGGACTAGAGTTAAATAAGACATGGGTCCCTATGAATTTTAATAGTAATCATGAGATAGGACAAAAATAACATTGAGTAGTAAGTTGTAGAATAGATTATTTTTTTCGTAACACTTCTATTGTGATTACTTACTGAGTGTTCCAAATTAGAGAGCTAACTTGTTAAAATAAAATAACCATCCGTTAGTTGAATTTTTTATTAAAATAAAATATTATTGATCCTCCCTTGTTAAGTTGACAATATATTGAATTACAAACTAAAAATAACTTTAGTTTGACTTTTGTATTTTTAACGGATTGGGACTATGATCAGAAAGTTAAAACTTGACGACTGCTAAGAAAGCTTCAACTTATCTATTTTCCTCCCTTTCTGTCGAAATACCATGTTAACATGCCTCATTGAACTCGACTATTCTCTGACTGATTAGTTTCTTTTATAATTTATCAATTTGTTTTATATTCCAAAGGTCGTCATTGTTATTATATAAGCAAACTAGTTGTATCATAGTATAACTTTCTTGGAAGTAATAAAAGATCATCTGTCAGAACTTGTTTTCTTTACTTTTATGACTTTGGGAAAATCACTATTGAAGTGTTATTATTACCTAATGAAAGCCTCTATTCGGCATGATTCAACTGATTTGTACGTTATCTATGATTGTAATACGGTAGAACAATATTTGATTAAAGTTTTAGAAATATTATGAAATATTGAACACTATAGAGTGTGAACAAGGAATGATTCAAATATCCAACAGATTTGAAAAGCGTCAATTTTTAACACTTTTTTGGTAGTAATTTGTAATAAAAACCATTTTAGTATCAGAAGGGAATTTATGGAGATTGTAGTAATTTCAATAGTTGAGATCATGAGTCAATTAAAGCTAGACAACCATGGAAAACCTAAAAGCACTGGACGGCCGTTTCACCCTATGGTGGGACTCCTCAGCAGTGTGCATCCACGACCTCGCCCCGTGGGATTTGAACCCACAACCTATCAGTTTCACGCGCGAGTGATTAACCACTAGACTACTGAGCCGGCATCCAACGGTATTAATGTCTGACTTCAACTAATCTACAAAATTGAGTCTATTTTATTCCTAGTAAACTAGAGATTGTTTTAAGACGGATAATAACTCTATGGGTTTGGGCCTTTCTGAATATGTACGTACTGCACTATTTAACGATCAATATAATTGTACGCTATGGATATTTGAGATTTCATTTATATCTTTCGATTCCCTATTGTGTTTACTGATAAATGTAATTTTGTTAATTATGCACTTTAATTATCTACATTCAAGTGGAATAAAAAAATATCGAATCATTGGAATAAGTTTATTGTTTCAGTGAAAAACTATATTCTCCCTTTAGAACTACTTAAGTCATGTTTGGGAAAGAGGCTTCACTAAGAAATATCATGGACAAATTTCAATGAACAATGTAGAATTGTAGTAAAGTAACTTTCATGTATCGTCTTTACTTTGATAGATTCTTTTAAATGTAATACATTTTCAGTGTTATAGACTAAATGAATAAACTTATACCGCCAGAGATTTAACGATTGTGTACAAAGTAAATATTTTCAAAATTACTCTTTATGCTTATAAAATTTTCAGTAGTTATTAAAATTAATGCTGTACGTTACTGAGTAAGACGTGCAATACAACTTAAATGTCAATGATCTACTTTTATTCAAAGAAACTAGTGTTGTAGACAAACAACAACTTCTAAAAACAAATACAATGTATGATACTGATTGTGTATTTATTTATTTTACACGAAAACTAAGATTTCAGGATAGTTATTCATTAATCATTAATTGAATATCTGGAATTCTCCATACATGAATAAGCATACATGATGCTACATGTATTTTAAGTAGTAAGAAATTTTAAAACAATTAATGTAAGTCATATCAATTGTTTCTTTTATTTTTTCTAATTTTCAAGCACTTTGGATAAGATAGTGTAATGTACATTTGTAAGAAAGATGAAATATACTTTAAGTAAGTTTCTTTTCTTAGATGACCACAATGAATAAAAATGAATAAATTGACATGATGACGCTTTCAGATGAATAAAAATCTTATTTTATGACAAGCTAAATGTCAATTTTAAGTGAAAATTATATATGAAATATTTTCAGCGATTGAAATTTAACTAATTCCAACGTTTCGTCCAGCTAACTTGTCTGGATTATTACCCTGAAGAAGTTCGGACAAGTTAGCTGGACGAAACGTTGGAATTAGTTAAATTTCAATCGCTGAGATTATTTCAAATAAAATTTTCGCATATAATGTTTTCTCTATACTCGGCGCCCAATTACTGTCAAACTATTCGCTCTAATCTTGACGAATATTCGTATAAATGTCAATTTGTTTTTCTTTTTTTTTCATACATTTTTCTCATTGTCTTTCTCTTGTTGACAAGTTACTTTTCTCCCCCTTTTTCCAATTCTTCTATTTTAAATCTTGCTGACTGTGAAGATTATGTAAAAATTAATGAATTAGTTTTAGGCGAAATATCAACCTGTACACAAATTTTTACTGTTTATGATCAAAGAATATGTAAAATATATTTGAATATTCCCAGAGGGATATCAAATATTCTTAATCTATATTCAAGAGTAAGGATAATGATTGTATTGGAGTAGGTTCACAACCAGTACTTCCTTTATTTACAATTAGTAGGAGTAAAACCTAAATATGACTCAATAAACACAATGAATAACTACTCACTCTTCGTCTTCCTTTTTATTCTGCCACTAGGATTTTAAGAATGAGCTTAATTATCAATAACTTTCTCATTAGTAAAACATGAAACTTCACGACGAAAGTTAACCCTTTAAACTACATTTTGATCATCTACTATTCATAAATATAAGGTTACTAAACTTAAGTTAGTTCTGTTTGGATATTTACAATGATGCGAAAGTTTTAGCCACCTTTCACTTTTGGTCCATTCATGGAATATCGTATTTGATGGTTATGTAAGCAAGATAAATGAATATGATCACATTTCATCATATTAGATCACAGATTTTCTCCAATACGTAAGGACACCTACTGTAATGATAAAAGTAGCTGCTTCCATCAAGTTAGCTCCTGCTTTAAACTAGCGAAATCCTATGTTTTTGTTACACACTAGATGTCCAAAAAATCATTACGGAAATATGTAGGGATTGTGATTGGTTACTGAATATGTTAGAAGTTTGATATTGACTCAGACATAATTACTTCGTTAACAAAATGTGAACGAAAATGAAATTTACTTTGTTGTTAACCGACTCAACAGCTGGCTAATTGAAGCTGTAATCCAGGATATTACCGAATGGCATGGCTACAAGTAGAGTGTGCTACGTCGCCAATGATAATCTAGACATTTTAGGGTTATATTAGTTCTATAACTTTAAACTTGGGGACAGTCCATTGGATGCTACATTCAATTTCATTACAGTCAGAAACAAGGGTATTACACACAAACTATTGCTCGTGGTAATGTCCATAATTATGAACCTGGTATCGCCTAAAGGAGTTGTCGTTGACTAATATGGGCAAGAAATCTTCGAAACTGGAGTGGATGGAGAGAAATAGGGTTACTACAAAAATCGACTTCGCAGAAGATTCTTCGAGGAAGATTCATAAGAATCACGCTGATCCTCCACCGACATCCTTCTGGATATCATGAAATTCGTACCATTTCTTCTATTTGAACTGCTCATTTACAAAAGAGTATACAAAAATTCATTAATTTATCAATTCTATTCTATTTATTTATGGAAATTTTTTATGAGTGAAGCAGTAATGGATATGGCAAGTTGCTGGGAGAAAAAGTGAAATTATTAAGAATGAAACTGAACAAAAAGTATAAAAATAACAATAAATTGGTACTTTCTTCCAGTTGAATATACTTCTTTTGGTTTATAGTTACTAAAGAGAAAATGAAATAGAAAAATAAGCCAGATAGAATATAAACTCATCAATCTAAATATGGTCTCCAAACATTTTGTTCTTCCTTAGTATGATGAATCTCTTCATGATTATGATGATGATTAGTCTGCTTCTGTTTTTTAAAAGATAAATCAATTATTTGTTCATAAGCTTCATTTTCCACGGGTTGATTTATATTATAATAGTTTCGTTTAAATATTCGTTGTGACATTTGTAATAACTGTTTTGATTGTGTACAATTTATTGATTGTGTATCTTCAACATCTTCAATACCACTGTCTAGAGACTGTGAATATGATGTAGTAACTACTGATTTAATATTTTTATTATTATCTGTTGAGGTTTTCAATGTTTTCATTGAAATTAAAGGAGTTGAATGAAGTTTTTCATTGAAATACCGAAATGAATTATGGTTAGTCAGTTGCGATGAAATATCATTAGAAATGGAAGTATTTAATGAATTACATTGTTTGTTCATATCATAATCATTAGAATTATCATTCGAATATATTTTCAAAGAATGATTATATGGAATATAATTGCTTAAATGAAATTTCTCATTATTGTTATTATTCTCATCATTACTGATATTGTGTTTATTTTTTGATCCACTAGAATGATTTGTGATTAATTTATCGTAAAATTTATCACGAAGTTGATGTACACGTTCAAGTATATCTGAAGAAAACGAAAGAAAAACAATATGGAATATTACCCAAATAAACTTTTTTATTACATAACTGACTCATAGCAAAGTTAATTCATTCTTAAAATGCATTACATTTTGTGTCTGAATATGTCGATTGTGTTGGCACTTGTCATAAGTTATCTCCAGTAATTTAAAGAGTGTTAAGGCCTGTGAAAAGCTACATCAGTCTTTCTTTTCTATATAAAATCCTTCTTTTTAATATAGGGCACTTACATAACAACTCTTTAATTGGTCTTTTTGATAGGTCAGGCAAAAATGAACCTACAATCGGAAAACGTCATTTGCGTTTTTTTGCCAGTTAGTAGCTATTCGATACGTAACTCATAGTAATACCATATTGGTTGAACGTCTTTCAAATGATTAGCTATCGGTTTACTATTATTTGTGATATTTTAGCGTAGGTCAATGAGTACATTTTTGTACTCAACGTTTTTCTTCAACCGATCATTGGTCACTAGGCAAATAACTATTTTACAGAACAATTGATCTATCATAAGAAAGATATTTATAAAGATTGCTACCATTTTATTTCAGATATTTAATTCTCCAAAACGTAAACACATTTTTTACCACACACTTGTAGCCAAATCAAGTCTGAATATTGAGATTTTGATCATTATGTAGTGTATACTTTATACAGTCTACATAAAATTATTTCAGAATGCCTTAGTCTAAGTTAGTTCGAGAATCTTAATTTGAGCCTATTTTTATTTTCCATTCAACAACGACCTTTATTTTTCATTTTGATCAAAATGAAAGGTGAATATAGAACATAATTGGCGCCATTTCAAATAAGGTCAATATCTCTGTATACCATACACATTATTTGATTAGTTATCAATATTTAACATATAAGAAAGTACTTAGATAAAGTTAAGCCATTGTCACACTTATTACACCGTTCTCCAACATAATAAAAACTTCTTCCAATTGTTGTATCTTTTAATTGATGTGTAAAACAAGTTTACGCGGATTATAACTATCATCAGTTACAAAGGAATATAGCCAGACGGAATGAAAAAAAGATCCAATGTTGTTTGTGGTTTGAAAAATATTCAGATTTTTATTAGTATTTCTTTATTTCTGTCTCGCCATCATACACATATGCACACATATATTAAGGTCTCTCTGTTTGACAAACCAACTGTTTTCAACTGCCTGATGAAAACAGACGTCTGGGAAATTGATATCTAATCAGTGAAACTGGACTTTATGAAGTACCCCCCCTTCCGCGTATACATACATTCACAAACCCAAGGTTAAGAATTAGATGAATCCATGCTCTTATATATAATTTTATCATTGTTCAATGAACTCTTCAAATGCCCTAGAGTAATGTTCATTTCAAACAAATGTCTAATACAACATGTTTCAACAATCATTTATAATATTAATAGTTGATCAATAATACACACGCATAAATAGTGTTATTGACATGATAACAGTAAAATCATTGGAAGTATATAAATCTTAATAAACTTATCAGTGTAATTAAAACTGCTATAAAATTGGATAAATTCAGTCGTTTTTTTAAAATGAAAAATAAAACTCATATTGTATATACGAAATTGAGCACAAATGTTTGCTTAATCAAACAATATAAAGGGATGGAATGATATTTATGCTCTTTCCTTGGGTAGTTTCATTTCATTTCACTCATTTTAGTAATACTATTAAAGTTTGTACTTTATCTAAAATTAGTAGACAGTTGGGATAAAACACTAGTTGATTTGTTTTATATTGAAATAATGTTGATAGAATATAACGATAATAAGTGAGAATTAATTGATTGAAATCTATTCACTTAGGAAAACAAATAATTAATAAGTATCAGTTTAGGAGTTGCGGAGATTGTTAAGTTTTTGATTGAAATCATGAGTCAATTGAAGCTAGACTACTATGGAAAACCTGGAAGCACTGGACGGCCGTGACCAGTGTCTACCTCAGTACAATGGAAGATGGTCGCGCAATTTCGTGGATTGGTTGGGGTTAGACATTAGCACCGTTGGATGGCGGCCGGCTCAGTGGTCTAGTTGAATAAGCGCCTGGCGCGAGGATGACAGGTCCTGGGTTCGAGTCTCGCGGAGTGTGGGATCGTGGATGCGCACTGCTGAGGAGTCCCGTACTAGGACGAAAAAGCCGTCCAATGCTTCCAGGTTTTCCATGGTGGTCTAGCTTCAATTTACTCATGATTTCAATCAAAAAATTAATTAGTACTTGTTAAATGATAAAAGATTTCACTAAAGAAATGAATAAACACTAATTGATCGAACAATTTAAATGATTAACCTTTATCTTTTGATGAAAAGATCAATGCATTATGAGAACAAAGACAATTATTCATCAAAATAGTTCGTTTCACAAATTAATGTCATATACTTTTGAAATGATCTATTGAAAGGAATCTTTTAATAAATTTTAAAGTGATGTCATTTTTTTTTACTTTTAATACAATAACAATCTGAAATCTCAATGTTGACATAGTGATCAGTTATTGTGTATTAGAGTATACATATTTTAGTTAAGATAATGAATTTGTTACTTAACAACTAACTGGGAATTATGAGTTGTAGATAATATCATTCATGTCAATAAAGAATTGTGAAGTTTTTATTATGATGACCATTAAAACATAAAGGAGTTTAATTAGATCTGACCAATAAATATCTTTAGAATAATTCATAAAACTAACAGAATCACTTAAAGCTACATGATCAATCTATTCAAATTTGTTGATAAAGTTTCATTAACTTTAAATAAACAAAAAAGCACAACACGTTTCTATCAATTTAATCATGGTCTCTTCTCAGACTGTTGTTCAGTATTATTGTGAATGATCAAGAAGCAGAGTGAATTGATTAAGACTGATAGTTTTCAAGTTGTTAGACAGTTGATTTACATATAGTTTAGTCTAATTTTGAATGGCTCATTGTTAATGATTTAAATCGTCTGAGTTTTAACTGAAACAGTTTATTTTATAGGCAATGAATTGAGCAAAGATAATTCCTCTTTCTATTTCAACAACAAAACGAATAATTGAATTCAATCAAAGACAAGTTAATCAGCTATTTTAACAAAATAAAAATGTAAACAACTTTTATAAATCAGTATATATATATTGTTAAAGAAACATTGCAATTCATACCTGGTTGTTCGTTGACAATAGCCACAACATTTTTAAAGACACTGTGACAAACATTCAGAATATCGGTTTTTTCAATTTTATGATATTCTGTTGGCTAATAGTTTGAAAAAATAGAAACAATAATACAATATTGATTTAATATGAATTAACCTGGTAAATAATTAATCATATCCATTTAAATCAAGTTCCAATATAACGATAACAATAACAAATATATGTAACTACTATTTTCATCGAGAAAATAGTGTGTTTAGAATTCGATAACAAAGATGTTGACTATAAGCAAAAATGGATAGTGGCTAGCGGTAGAATCCAGGATGCGCGCTCCATCCTATTTTGGACTTGTCAGTTGGATGTACCTGCATCTCAGAGTTGATATTCGCTCTAGGACTCGAACCTAGCACAGTTCGCGTTATCCACTTAGCAGTCCTAAACATCAATAGGGAGTTTCAAGTAAACAATATCGACTGGATTTAAACGTACTGACTACTATTTAGTAAATGTTTAAATCTCTTGCTGAAAAATCTTAACCTGACATTAAGCAACTGTCTAACTTCCTCATAGTTACTTAAATGTTCTCCAACTATTGTCAGTTTTTTAATGAAGAATATATTCAAACCAAATAAATCTGTGAAAAAAATATTCAAGTAGATATTGAAAATATTTCCATAAGTATATATGTTAATAATTGATTTGGATTGAAATAAGTTAATGATTGTAATCTTGACTGGTCATATGGATTCAACAAAGTGGGGCTCAATATTCAGAGAATATATAATTAAGTCCAATTTACTAATGAGAATATATATGAGATAATAATTTCATGATATTCCGAAAGGGGTTTAGTGGATATTATAGTAATTTAACAGTTGAAATCATGAGTCAATTCAAGCTAGATCACCATGGAAAACCTGAAAGTACTGGACAACCGTTTCACCCCATTATAGAAATCCTCAAAAGTGAGCATCCACGATTCCGACTCGCGAGATTCGAACCCAGAACCTATCGGTCTCGCATATGAACACTTAACCTCTAGACCATGGATTTGACCGGCATCCAATGGGGTTAATGTCTAACCTCAACGAATCCACGAAATTGAACGACCCATCCACCATTGTCATCAGTGAGTTACTATCTCATAACAGACTTGGTTGAACTCCACTGGTCACTGCTTCTCACTAGAACTCCAAGAAATAACATCTCCCAAAATAATTGTTTAGTATTAAACTTTAGAAATATACCAGATAAAATACTCAATGAACATTTTAAAATGAAAGCTTTTCTGTTTATTAAAAGAAAAAATTAAGAAACGAATTTAATGAACAATGGTTCTAAGTACCTACACTTTAAAAAAAAATAGTTTGACTGTAACAGCTACACTTTTCTACTTTGAAAAATGATGTTAATGTGTAAAAATCAGGATACACTTGACTTTCACAATGAATCATTCATGTAACATCAAATATTTACAATTTCTTTCAGATTATAATCTGTATTGCTTGTTGATGGATCTGTAGTTGTTAAATACTGAATTGTTACAAAAATATCAGATGCTACTTAAAAAGATCTCACTTGTAATGAATTCTAATATATAGATAGATAAGTAGTATATTCGTTAAAATGTACAAATTGATAGTTAGGTTTTTGTGGATATTGAGAATTAGATACTAGATATTACTAGTTACCATTCAAATTAATGATCTGGATACTACGATTATTATTGTTATTATTATTTATTAAAATTCATGAATGACATATGAGACACTGACTTAGTGTCTCAATATAACTTGGATAATTATTATAGATAAACATCAGTAAAAAAATTGATGTACTTCCATATTATTGATCAGGTTATATATTAAACTTATGGTAACAACAATATTTTCACCAAAACTAATGCATTAATCAATTTGTACATGTTGATTTATTTAATCAAGTTTTATAGTCAAATCTAGGTCATTTATACTGTATGTAAAATGTTTATTAGATATGCTCAAACAAGTGCTCAATTTATACAGGATTATCATAAGGAGTGATTATAATAATAGGTCATCTAGACCATTCAGTATACTTTATATGGTTTTTAATTTATCTGTTATATATATAGACAGATTAACCTCAGATTTAACTCATAAATCAATTAAAAATAAAAGGCATGAGGTCAGTTACATCGTCTTGTTATATTTGTTATAATGAAAATTAATACCTCCAATTGCGCTCCTATAAAGTCTGAATTAAACATGTTGGTGAATGTAAAAATATCCCTCCAGGTATTAAATATATGACATTTATGTTTCATTAAAAATATATCGATTCCTTGATAAATAGACTCGACTTCGATGATATATCTTAAATTATTTACAGTATATGAAGTAAAGTATATTGCTGTTCAAATTTGTAGTCAATAAAAACGAGCAGTTAAAAATTACCCGATGAATACTTAAGCCATTTACTATCAAACGATTATTTACTTTCTTTGTTAAAAAAATTTTTTTTTCTAATACCTTTGTTTATTTAACCTCACTGTCACCATGTATAACAGGAGTTTATTATCAGTATTATTATCATCCTGTAAAAATAAGTATATATATTTGCGATTGTACAGCTTTGAAAATGAATTCGCCGAAAAGAGAACTCTTCATTGAACTAATCTTTCTTTCTTACTTAATGTCATAATGGGTGTATTCCGTTTATTAAAAAATTAAATTAACTAAAGATTCATGTTTTCTACATTAAACATACAGGATACTTTTCTTCACGAAGCTGTGCCAAAATCAGATTACCTAATTTTAAATAAAATAGTCAATAGATCAGCTCTATGTGATTTGAATTATGGATTTGTATTTAAATATCACGATTTAAGGATATACATTTCTTGTTTGGTTGGTAAATATGACAGTCGATGAAAAGTCGTCTGATAAATGGCAAAAATTTATCAAAGCATTTGACTATTTAATAAGGAATAATTATATATATATATATATATATATATATATATATATATATATATATATATATATATATATATATATATATGGATATAGATCTTGATAAAGATATAGATATAGATATAGATAGATAGATATAGATATAGATATATAACCATAACACGTAAGTAATTTATTCTTTTTCAGCTCATACGAAACCAGTGATGTGAAACGCTTACACTTTTTTCAGTATTACGAACTCGATAACCACAGTAACACTAACATGCTTATTCCTCATAGCAAATAATTTTATTAGATTACAGCAAAATTCAGTGATGAAGAATTTCTTATAAAATAGTTGTAATTATAGATATATTAATATAATTATTATAATACCGTTCACTTTACTAGTAAGAATAGAATTCGAAATATATAACACTGGTTAGACATTCATACACATATTTCGATGATCAAATTGCATATTCGCTTAGAGATATACATTGTTAGCACTCGTGATGTGTATTGAATATATATTATGGATACCCTTAGTGATAAGACTAATCACTTAAATATGGAATATATGGGATGTAGTTATCAGTGGAATTCTGGATATGCGTTTTATCCTATTTTGAAATCGTCGGCTTGATGTATTTGAGTTCCAGAGGTGATGTTCACTCCTGGACTGGAATCCAGTGTAGCTCACTTAAAATACCGTCTCATCATCCATGTACTTAAGTGCTGATAATACTTATAAATTCATGACAAAATCAAGGCAATTCGTATAGGATGCTCGTATCTCAAAGTAGATTGATCAGTTGCAGGTCTAAATATCAATAGGAAGGTTCAAACAACCAATACAAAATGAATATAAAATTATGTGTTTCTTTAATTCAATTTTAAAGAATGACGTGATGTATTTTCTTCAACTCTCATTCAACAGGTCATTTAAATATAGATGAACATCAATCTTAGTAAGTTCATGATTGGAAGTAGTCAACAGGAAACCCCGACTACCTTCAACCACCATCTTATCTTAACATAGTGTACGCAATGTTGAGTCATCCAGACTAATGGCCACATTGCAATTCGATCGATAGGATACGACCTGTACTAAGAAGGACCTGACATACATGAAATTGATTACTATCCAGTGGTCAATCAATTGTAAATCAATTTTAGTTCGTAGAACAAATAAGAATTTTTATTACCCTATTTATTTTAGACTAATAAACCTAAAAAATCTAGATTATAAAATAATAAATGAAATGAGTGAAATATTTGAAATAAATTTTAAAAATTCTCATTATTTAAATAAAAAATTAGAATAAAAAAAGCGACAACTAATAACTTACATCTTTGCCAATTAAATTCATAGCTAAATTATGTAATGCATTCATTTTATCTGAGATACATGCACGTCTACGACGTTCCAGATTTTGTTTTTTCAACTAAAAAACAGATAAACAATATTAATGATAAAATTCTATTTTTGAAATTAATGTTTGATTTAAAGTCAGTCAGTTATGGATGAGTGCTGTTAGATTTACGAGGGCGGTTATCATTACCCGGTTGCCCAAACAGTGAAAGGGTTCTTCTGGAGGTACCTGAAAAGGAATTAAGGTTAGAAGTGGTAATAGTGACCTGAAAGGGTGACCACAATGCCCAAGGTACAACTGTTTGAGGTCAGTGGCAGTTATATATGATTTAATAAGTAAAAATTACTCAATTAGTTTATGTATTGTTTCGTAATGTACTAATTACATTATCGTATAAGATATTCATTTACAATTAATCTGTTTGTACTTAGTAGTCATCTTTTGATTCAGTTCGCCTGTATTATTTTAAATTGAAACGATCTGTTAAGAAAGCATAAATTAATAGTAATAGTGATATAAATTTAATAGTTGAGTTCATGTGTCAGTTGAAGCTAGACCAGTATGAAAAGCCTGAAAGCACTGGACGGTCATTTCATCACACTATGAAACTCCTCAGTATTCAGCATCCACGATTCTGCACGCGGGATTCGAACCCATTGCTTATCGACCTGGCGCGCGAGCACTTAACCTCTAGATCACTAAGACAACCAGCATCCGATGATACTAATATCTAACTCCAACGGCCGTCCACTGCTTTCAGGTTTTCTATGATGGTCCAGATTCAATTGACTCGTGAATTCAGCTATTGAATTTCTATAATATCCAAAAAAACCTCTTCTGATAATAAATTTAACACTAAACCCAACCAAGTGGTTAGAAGAGGTTAATTATCATAATAATTTTACACAGTGATACATATTATATGTTTTCGACAAAAAAAACTAATATTCGTGGAAAAATATAAATTAACTCAAATATCATGAATAGATTTTTTTTGAAAATTCATTCAGTCATGAATTTACTCTTAAACTTGATCATTTAAAAAGATCCAGTCAATGATTTTGACAGATTCATCCTTAAATTTATTTCCCATCCCTGAAGCTCTAGCTTTAATCTAAAGAGTTATTAAGAAATAAATGAGTGTGCTGTTTATTCTGAGACAAATATCTGTCGATATTCAAGTGTTATCAGATTCTCAATAGTTTTTTTAGACTGATGTTTAGTTTATAATAAAAATCAGTTTCGAATCATCGAGTTATCAAAAGCCAATTACTCAAGAGGGGAAGAATGTCTAAACTATCAATAATTACTACATCATGATCAATAGATAGGATAGTGTATTCTGATATTATATATTTAAACCTTATTAATTCAAGATTACTATATTCATGTCATTTTGATTACTTGTATTAATACATTTCGTAATTTAACTAATAATGTATTCTATAATCCTGCCACCTTACAGACCATCAGAGTTTTTTTCATCTTAATCCATTCAATATAAAGATTTCTTATATAAAAGAGACTGAGATTTAGTTAAGGTGTAAATACATTTCTATAAAATAAATGTCACTAATGTATACATAAATGCATCACCTACTCGTCTTGTTTGATCTCGATATTCCGGAGGTATTGTAGACTGTCGACCGTATTTTTTCGCTTTACATTTATCATTTACACTATGTGTTGATGTTTGGCTAGGAGACAACATTGTTGTCTGACAATCATTCATATTCATTATGTATTGAAAATAGTGAATAAGTAATATATATATATATATATATATATAACTGCATTGTCCGTGTGAATCAACCCCGTGTCCAATTTAATATCCAATCAGAACAGACACGAGTAGATTTCTCTAAACGTGTAAATATGGTTTAATATGTTCACTTCTATTTTCATACCCTTTCATCAGTCTTAATTTTCTTTCCCAAAATCTCCAGCCAATAAGAAACCAATATCATAAATTTTATTTCAGGTGTACTCATTTCGTATACCTTTTTATTAATAAAAAATAGTGAAGTATAATACTGAAGATAATAATCAGTGTCATTAGGTTAAAGTAAGTTCATATTTTGATGGTTCACATTTATTGATAAATATGCTTGTAAGCAAAAACATAAACAAAATAAAAGAGACTTTTTCAAAATTTGTTACATAACCAGCGAATATGACCAACTATGGATCACGAATGAATTAAAATGACAAAAAAACTCCATAATTAGACTCACTTTTGTTGATCCGAATTTGAATAGATACATTGAAGAATTTGTTACATTTAAACTTTTTATTTTTTTATTTTGATGTGTTTTAGCTGACAAAATGCTGGAACAGTTATGTGGTATGATTGGGAAGAAACTGTTACTTGTTACAACTGAAGCTATGGCTCGATTCCAGGGAGAAGATAAGAGTATATATGAAGATTTATTTGTGCTCCGACCACTAATTACCAAGTACATGAAAATATAATGTGTTATATATGGTCAGTAGTTACATTTGAATATATTGAACAAAGCAAAAGCTGATATAAATTAATTAATAACTAAATCCATGTTTACAATTTACAACGTCAAAAGACTTAATTAGCAATATAATAAATTACTGAGTTACACATTTGATTCATCCTAACAATAAATAGAGTATTTCATTGGGAACAAATTAAAGTTTAAAAATAGCTTAGTATATATAACATATGCTCACTAGAGCCTGGCATAAAGAGGTATTTCCTGGAGTTCTGGGGAGAATCAGTGACCAGTGGAGTTCAACCAAGTCTGTTATGAGATAGTAACTCACTGATGACAATAATGGATGTGTCGCTCAATTTCGTGGATTCGTTGAGGTTAGACATTAACCCCATTGGATGCCGGTCAAATCCATGGTCTAGAGGTTAAGTGTTCATATGCGAGACCGATAGGTTCTGGGTTCGAATCTCGCGAGTCGGGATCGTGTGTGCGCACTTTTGGGGATTTCTATAATGGGGTGAAACGGTTGTCCAGTACTTTCAGGTTTTCCATGGTGATCTAGCTTGAATTGACTCATGATATCAACTATTAAAATATAAATATTTTACAAATATGTCGAGAGAGTGTTCTTCACTGAAATTCAATGGTATTTTAAGAAACGAATTCCCAGTCTACTTTTATTACAAATATCGAATTAATAAATAACAAATTAATTGAGAGACCATTTGGAACAAAATTGAGTAACAAGACTATATAACTAATCGAAACAATATCTTATTTCACACAAAGCTATTTAGAATAGATTCTTAGTAAACCAGAAGTTATTTGAATCGCGAAATCGATATAAATTCTTAAACGAATAAGCTTAAAAATTAGTGTTGGAATTTAATTATTCATATAAATTAATTAATGTAATCATAATTAAACTTTTTATTCTTTTATGCCATCAGAAGTACTCCAACAACTGTATGATTGTTATAACCTGTGACCTTGCATCTCTACCAATATATGACATAATGATACCGCCAATTAGAGAACAGTGCTTTATAGACCAGACCAATGATTCATAAAATCCATATGAGCAGTCTAGAATCTTTATCGGTTCTTCTTCCTGCCTAACCCTGCCTGTTAAGTCTAGAGCACTAATCTCAGCCTCCACGATATGAATCATTTATTTCAAACATACTGGGTTTTTATATAAACCAAACAGACCATATCGTACTACAAAATAGAAAATAACATTTGTACAATATCTAACCATAAGTGGCTGTGAATGTGGGAGACTCTAATTAATTGACTGGGCATAACTCAAGAACGGTAAATCGTATAATAATAGTTTATGTGTCAAAATAAAGCTGATAATAAGCGGAAAATGAATATGTATAGTTTATCTATTTAACAATTATACAGTAGAAATATATGCATCGTATTGCTTTATAAATAGTTCTTAGGAGTTACCATTCATAATTCTCGTCGGGATATAACACTGATTCATTCTCATAGATTGTGGAATGATACAAAGAAATTCACCAACGTAAAATATTTTCAAATTACTTTTTTATTTTGTATTTTTCATTTTTATTTTTATGATTATCACTTTCTAGCTTTTGTTTATTAAGTTAAATCTTATAAAAACAGAATAATTCGTAACTAATTAATTAATTAATTTAATGGTTGAATTCATGAGCCCATTGAAGTTAAATCACCATGGAAACCCTAGAGGCACTGAAAGGCCGTTTTGTCCTAGTATGGAACTTCTCAGTAGTGCTCATCCACGATCCCGTTTACAACTTTTTCACACTTTGCAAATTAAATTTTATTGTGCACAATAAAACAACACAATTTGTATGTTCATGTAATTAGCCAATAAATTTCAATGATTTTCAAATAGTGTAAAATATTGAATTGATATTTATTGGCTTTTGTATTTTCACCTGACAATTAAAAAAATATTTTAACGGTGAAAATATTTATCTCAGCAGCTTGTATCAATTACATTTTTATTTTTATAAATTGTAAATAGATGAATCTACAATATAGAATTGTTAACTGTTTGTCAAGAATAAAACTATAAATTAATATCACTGGTTGAAATCATGAGTCAATTGAAGCTAGACCACCATAGAAAACCTGGAATCACCTACTCACTAGTGACTGACTTCAGGAGATACTCCTCGAGTTCTAGTGAGAAGTCGTTACCAATGGAGTTCAACCAGGTCTGTTGTGAGATGTCAACTCACTGAAGACAATGGTGTACGGTGGCCCAAATTCGTGGATTGGTTGAAGTTAGAAATTAACACGATTGGATGCCGGCTCAGTGGTCTAATGGTTAAGCGCTCGCACGCGAGACTGATAGGTCCTGGGTTCGGATCTCGCGAGGGGCGGGATCGTGGATGCCCACTGCCCAGGAGTCTCATACTAGGACGAAACGGCCGTCCACCGCTTCCAGGGTTTTCATGGTGGTCTAGCTTCAATTGACCCATGATTTCAACCAGTGAAATTTCTAAAAATCTCAACAAAAGCCATTCTGATTATAGATTAATACTTTATTTTTAATAATGTCACATAACAACGTCATATATATAAATAACATTTGATAATAAAGCAAGTCATTCAATAGTTGAATAGTGATTGGTTAACCACTTGCTTAATTTTAAGATAAATGATATTGTCTAACATCATTATAATTCTGAGTAGTATCGTGCTCACCATAAGGATTTTTCATTTTGTCTTCGATTTAGGAGGAAATAATGGATGAAAGGTAGTGGAATATTATAAATTAGTGTTCAGTATGGTGTTAATGAGATTTTTGAATTTCATCTAAGTCATGAACCCATCAATATTAGACCACCATCGAAAACATGGAAGCATTAGACGCCCGTTTCATCTTATTATGGGACTCTTCAGAAGTGCGTATGGATGATCTCATCCTCAGGACTCGACCCCACAGCCTTCGGTTTTACGCACGAAGGCTTAACCTCGGGACTAATGAATCAGCAATGGTTATTTAGTAGGTTGGTAGTGATAAACATGTTTATAGTGTTTATAAATTACATGCATCCCAATAAATCAAATAACATAACTCCCATTCCTAAAAATAAGTCAACTTATTTGGGGAAGTGAAGTAAAATTTATTCGATAGATTTCAGTCGTAAACTGAAAATCTGTTTGATAAAGGAGTTGCATAACCATAGGTTAGTTGTGTAATCTCTTGTTAGGTTGAACAAACGTTTGTATATAGCAAAAATATGTACCTTCCAATAGGTCATGTGAAAGTTTTTATCCTACATTGTTTTGAATTATGTAAGTGATTTGTTTTTATGATAAGCGCTTTTCTAAATGATTACATAATATGGCAGTATATTTCTTGGACCAGTTTGATTTTAATATCGATGACGTAATAAGTCTATCTCCCTATACATTAAAAAAAATCGTACTCATCAAACTAAAAATATACCACCGAACTACTTTAATCATCAATCCTTTAAAGAAATTTGTAATCATTCACCAAGATAATGAAGTAATATAGTTTGGAAGTAATTTAAATTTTTCGAAGCAAATGGGTTGTTGGTGTTATGGTCTATGAACAGGATGGTTTAATGCTTAAAATTTTATTGATCTTTAAGAAAAAACAATCAGATAACAGTTCATTTCTCTTTGATGATGATGTTATAAAGGACAATGAAAGCCTCATAGTTGAATCGACCAGCACAGAGACCAAAATATGTCCAATATCATCGTTCTGATGGATAAATATTTCTAATCATTTCAAAATATATGAACTTTAGCCAACAATGGAATTCAGTAAACTTGTTTCGTTCTATTTGGTGCTCATCAGTTATATATACCTACATCCTGCAAATATTCTTCACTTGAGTTTCTGAATCCTTTTGTTGACCAGTCTAACGACTCCCAAATAGAATGAAACGTGGGTCCTGGATTCGATTTTTAGCTACCATCAAACCTCATGTAGAATTTTATCGTTAAAATATTTTAAAACGATATTCTAGATAAAACTCAGTATATTTTCCAAACTTAATTACACTCATCACCTCATGTCACACCAGTCTCAAATGAACATATTCTAAAATATGGATTTCGGTGTTTAACCGTGGGTTCGAACAACGCTTCGATCACGTCAAGGCACTTTAATCACTGCTTAATTTGCTGACCACTCTATTGTATTCTCTGACATTGAGACAGCCATTCACGATCTTCAAATGCAAGCTATAAACGCGGAGTCCCGTTACAGTTTGAATGAACGAATCGAACA